GTAATAGTCTTTATTTTAATGTCTATTTTGTCTGATATGAGAATTGCTACTCCAGCTTTCTTTTGATTTCCATTTGCATGGAATATCTTTTTCCATCCCCTCACTTTCAGTCTGTATGTGTCCCTAGGTCTGAAGTGGGTCTCTTTTAGAGAGGATATATATGGGTCTTGTTTTTGTATCTATTCAGACTGTATGTCTTTTGGTTGGAGCACTTAATCCATTTACACTTAAGGTAATTATTAGTGTGTGTGTTCTTATTACCATTTTCTTAATTGTTCTTGGTTTGTTTTTGTAGGTCTTTCCCTTCTCTTGTGTTTCCCGCCTAGAGAAGTTCCTTTAGCATTTGTTGTAAAGCTGGTTTGGTGGTGTTGAATTCTCTTCACTTTTGCTTGTCTGTAAAGGTTTTGTTTTCTCCATCAAATCTGATTGAGATTCTTGCTGGTTAGAGTAATCTTTGTTGTAAGTTCTTCCCTTTCATCACTTTAAATATGTCTGCCACCCCCTTCTGGCTTGCAGAGTTTCTGCTGAAAGATCAGCTATTAACCTTATGGGAATTCCCACCACAGCGGCTCAGGCCTGACACCAGGCTGGAGCAGCAGGACCCTGTCAGCCACACAGCTCAGAAGAAAAGTGAGACAAAAAGGAAGAAAAAAATAAATAAATGAAAAAATTATTTAAATAAAAAAATTAATAATAATAATAATAAAGGAGAGAGCCACCAAACCAATAAACAAGTCCACCAGTGATAACAAGGGCCAAAAACTAAACTAAGATAAACATAAAAATCAGAAACAAATCAGTCACAGATAGTAAAACTCAAGTTTACAGTTGCTCCCAAAGTCCACTCCCTCAATTTTGGGGTGATTCGTTGTCTATTCAGGTGTTCCACAGATGCAGCGTACATCAAGTTGACTGTGGAGATTTAATCCACTGCTCCTGTGGCTGGACAGAGAAATTTCCCTTTCTCTTCTTTGTTCGCACAGCTCCTGGGGCTCAGCTTTGGATTTGGCCCCGCCCCTGCTTATAGGTCGCCCCCAGGCATCTGTTCCCGCCCAGACAGGACGGGGTTAAAGCAGCACTGATTAGGGGGCTCTTGCTCACTCAGACCAGGGGGGAGGGAGGGGTAAGGTAGTTATAATTGGAATGCGGGGCGAGCCTGCGGCAGAGGCCAGCATAACGTTGCAACAGCCTGAGTCGCACCATGTGTTCTCCTGGGGTACTTGTCCCTGGATCACGGAACCCTGGCAGTGGCAGGCTACACAGGCTCCCGGGGGGGGGGCAGTGGTGGTGTGGATAGTGACCTGTGCTTGCACACAGGATTGTTGGTGGCTGCAGCAGCAGCCTTAGCATCTCATGTCCGTCTCTGGTGTCCATGCTGATAGCCGTGGCTTGCGCCCGTCTCTGGAGCTCGTTTAGGCAGTGCTCTGCCTTCTGTGGGCAGCGGGGAAGGAATCCCTTTTCCTCAAACACCTCAAAACAATGGTCTCTCACCTCTTAGGCAGTTCCAGACTTTTTCCTGGCCTCCCTCCTGGCTAGCTGTGGTGCACTAGCCGCCTTTAGGCTGTGTCCACGCAGCCAACCCCAGTCCTCTCCCTGGGATCTGACCTCCAAAGCTAGAGCCTCAGCTCCCAGCCCCCGCCCACCCCGGCGGGTGAACAGACAAGGCTCTCAGGCTGGTGAGTGTGGTTGGCATCAGTCCTCTGTGTAGGAATCTCTCTGCTTTGCCCTCTGCACCCCTATTGCTGCACTCTCCTCCGCGGCTCCGAAGCTTCAGCCCCACCACCCCCCCATCTCTGCCAGTGAAGGGGCTTCCTAGTGTGTGGAAACTTTTCCTCCTTCACAGCTCCCTCTCCAAGGGGCAGGTCCCGTCCCTATTCTTTTGTCTCTGTTTTTTCTTTTCTCTTTTACCCTACCCAAGCATGTGGGGATTTTCTTGCCTTTTTGGAAGTCTGAGGTCTTCCGCCAGCGTTCAGTAGTTGTTCTGTAGGAGTTGTTCCACATGTAGGTGTATTTTTGATGTATTTGTGGGGAGGAAGGTGATTTCCATGTCTTACTCCTCCACCATCTGGAAGGTCCCCGCCAGAATGGTATATTTTTATTCTTAAGAATTTAGAGACAGAGTAGTTCTGGATAATGACAAAATCTGGCTTGTGGCAGGGAGAATTGAAGACTCATAGGAGTAGAGGTGGTCCTTGAGATTGGAGGTGTTCCAGAGGAGAAAGTTCAGGTGTTAGAACATCCACGCTCATAGACTCTGAAGTATCCACATTTGGAAAAACAGGAATGTCTCCTTTTTTTCTTCAATTCCAAATTACTCCTCAATACAATGGTTTCTGCCCGACCACCATACTGGATCTATAGTTGCTGAGTTACTACTGGCTTCCCAGCTGCTAAATCTAACATTCATTTCCAATCCTGATCCTGATTTTGATCTCTTGTAGTGTCCGTCGCTGCTGGCCGTGCCCATGAGCTGAGAGCTTCATCTTCTCTCCCTTCTGAAACTTACTCATTCTTTATCTCCCCACTCCCTGGCTTTTCCTTAGTAATCATTACTGTGTTCTCATTCTCTGGGTGTGGGTCTTAGATTTCAGGGGTTCCCAGTTTCAGCCATGGTCATCTTCAGTTCTTGCTTTGATTGCATTCAGGTGGAAGGCTCATAGGACCATCGCACACAGATGGCTCCCAACTCTCCTTTCTCCCATCTCCAGATACTTCATCCAACAACCTAACATACATTCCATGTAGACATTCCCATCACACAACTCACCAGATTCACCATGTCTAGAGCCACTTTTTAATGTTAACCTCAAATCTGATCATTCTTCTGTATTTTCTTTGCATTCCATCTCCTATCTAAGGACACTTTTGCATCCCTAAGCTGGGACCATACCGGTCCTGTTCCCTCTCCATAGTCCAAATTTGTCACTAAGGCTGTGAATTAGAACTGCTTAAAATCACTGGTTTTTGTTCCCTTCTGGTTATCCCCAGTGTACTGCCTTAGTTCATGTTCTATTCAGCCTTAGTGTGTGGAAATAACTTCCTAAATTGTTCCCTAGTCGTTAGGATTGCCCCCATTTTAATCCTTTCCCACAGAGCAACCAGACAGATTGTGCTCCAAGGCAAATATGCACACCTTGGTCCCTTGCACAGACAGCTTCAGATGCTCCTCCCCTTTTCATGGTTTTCTATGATTGGGCTCCTGACTCCCTCACCAGTTGCATCTTCATCACTCTCCTATGACCACTACAGCTTAGCCAGGATGCTGTCGTCTATTTTGTACCTGTGAACCATTGTACATGCTGGGTCAGAATTGTTCTTCTTGGTGCTAGAAAGACAAAAATTTTCAAATGTAGGCTGCTAATATTACTAATTAAAATCTTATTAGTGAGATATCACCACTCACTTTTAACTAAAAATCAAAGCCTTCTGAGAATTAAAACTCTAAAATAATGCAGCGGATTACAATAGAGACAGTTCTAGTTACTGAAAAAGGACAGAATGGCTCTTCAGCTGTCCAGGGTAAACTTTAATATGATTAAATATTTGTATGTCTTGAATGAGTCAATCAGAAAGGGGACTGATCAAGATCAGAGCATAGAAACAGAGTCCCAGAGCTTGCACCCACACAAGCCCCACCCAGGAACGAGGTTTCCATAATCCAAACACTCACACTTTTTGTTTGTCCCTATTCTAAAGAAGGCAACATCATTCATATTACCAGCATCTGACTCTTACTAGTAATTCCCATTCTACTCAGTAAGCAATTATCTGATTATAATTTGGTTTCCCCTATAGAGTGTTTACAGAAAAAATAATATAAGACTTCTAGAAAGTTATTGTTCACATGATAAACAAATAAACAAATGTTCATTTTGGCATTATTGAGTTTCACCTTCCACGATGGAAGCATTCACACTGTTCCAATGGTGGAGAGTGAATTCTGACCATGGTTGACTCAGTGAGGAGAGAGCTCAAAACTTGAGCGATTACGTCTTTACATAATGAGGGGTTGTATGTTTGTCTTCTCTATTATAAGGATTGTGAGCTCTGAGGGACTTCATCTTACTCCTGCACGACCAGGGCCTCTCACAATGCTAGCAAAGAGCAAGAAAAATATTTGAGTGAATAAATGGACTCAGTTATCCCAGATGTTATTTTGTAGATTGGCACTTCCTGAAGAAACGGGAAAAGGTTTGAGAAAGAGTTCAGGAGTGGGCCTCTGAGATGGAAAAAACGATTCACACGAGAATGTGAGCTTATGACAGGACAGATGAATGGTGAGGCTTTGCCCTCTGGGTGGAAACTGAGGAGAACGATAAGAAAGGCCTTCCTGAGACTAACCAGCCTTCAAGTTGGTTTTGTGTGAGGCTGTTTCCTTGTTGATGCAGAGGAAGCCTGGGTGACTTAAGAAGTGACGTGATATCTGCTCCCCTTAACCTTGCCACGTACTTTGACTATCGCTCAGGCCTCCAGATAGAAGGTTGGTGAAGAGTTATTTTGGACCTCGGCAAAATCCAACCCCTGATAGGTGGAGAAGGTGTGATTGGACCTGTAACACAGAGGTCACAGTCCTTATTCACCTGGGCTTGCAGTCTTGCAAAGGGGCTTGGTGCCATTAGACGGTGGTCCATTGAGCGACGTGGAGGACCTTCCTGCCTGTTCACATCCTCCTACCAAACTCCTTTATGGACTAGGTCCAATCCTTCTCCATAAAGTCTTCCTTCCAGCCTTCATAGGCCTCTCTCCTCTCAACTCCCAGTAGACCTCATATTTATAGCTCTCACTGTAACCTGTAGAATATTCTTTATCAGTTTTCTGGGGAGATATGTATATGTCTTATATAAATATACATATGTCTTCAATTAGATTGTAAATTACCTAAGGTCTAGAGATCACATAGTTTTCTTGTCTCCCCATGGTTCATAGAATGGTGCTAACTAGGAATGTAACTGATACCCCCAAATACTCTTTGAAATGAAAAATATATTTTTTAAATTTAGGACTGTAAAGAGATTGAAGGAGAACGATTTATTTCTCAGAGAGGAAAGCTTTTAGTGAAGAATGTCTCGACAGAGGATGGAGGGAACTATGCGTGTCAAGCCACGCTCACATACGCAGAGAAGCAGCACACTGTTTTAAACAGCATTTCTGTGAACATCAGTAAGTACACGCTTACCCATCACCTTGACTGCCTCTTGGCTTTGCGTGAGAGGTTGGCTTTGGGCAGAAGGGGTTCCTGATCTTGATTTTCCTGAGGGTTAGCAGTCCCTCAAACACGTCATTATTAGAATCAGAGGGTAGGAAGAGTGGGGCGAAAGGGCATAGGCTGTTTAGTTTTCTCATCTGAAAAAAAGGAAGATGAAAATTCTTGGTTTATTCATGAAAATTAAATGAGATCATGTCTATGGAGTAGCACCCAGGGTGCCTGGCGAAGTATAGGTATTCAGTAAAGGGCGGACATGAATACCTCAATGATCTTATGCTCTAGTCTTACACTGGTGGCTGAGGGAATTCTTTATAAGATGGAATTTCAAAGGCAAAATGAAGAATACCTTAAGAGATCATTGAGTCCAATAATCTTTATTTTATGTCGTTGCAATAAATGTTTATCTATAATCTGTTATATGCCCCAAATTGTTAAAACCTATAATTAAAAAATTAAAAGAATTCTTTCTTGTATTGAGAAGCTCTCAGCCTGGGTGTAGTGGTGCTAGAAATGTAAATGGATCATCTCAACATTATGTGGTAAGGAGAGTGTTATAGACAGTGTCCAGGGGAGCAGGAAAAAAATCAGAAGTAGCTGCATAGGTGGCAAGTAAATAAATGGTCTTGGAAGCTTTCCAAGAGGAAATGTCTTCTCAGCTGAATTTTGAAGGACAAGCAGGGTTTACAGAAGTAAAGAAGAGGGAAGAGGGGCAGAGAGAAATGTCTAAGGCAAAGCATGGAAGTGTCTACCATGATAGTTTATGTTGGATCTAAAAGTAATTTTGTTAGAGCATAAAAAACTGTGAGCTGAGGAGTGGTGGGAACTGAAGTCATGGAGTTAAACAGGGGAAAGGTCAAGGGGGCTGATTATACGCAGGTTTTACCATGAAGCACTGAAGAGCCCTTGGATGTGTGTAAATGCAGAGCCACGAGGCTGCATTTGTGATGGATGAGATCAGTCCTAAGATGGTTTGAGCAGGAGTTGAAGGGGGTCTTGAGGCCTGGAGACCACTTAGGAGGCTGCTGCAACATCTGGATGTAACCATCTGAACTTCGCTGGAAGTAGGAGATTCTTCTTCAGGCAGTAATTTAGTGACCCTTTACTGAGTGCCCATCAAGGTCAGGTCCTATGCTGGGCAGGGAGAACATGATGGTGAGGCAAACAGCCATGACCACTGCTTGGATGGAGCTTTGAAGTCTGAGTAGAAAGGAAAATATGCTATCAAACAGACAAGGATCTGTTGAGAAGGAAGTGGGTCAGGGAAAGCTGATGCTGATGGTCAGGAAGCATTAACTGCTTAAACGAGTGAGGTTTTTTCTAGACTGAGGGGGCAGCCAAAGCGAAGGCCCTACAGGTCAGACCATGGTATGTCTGAAGGATGGGAAGTAGGTAGGTTGGTGGGATGGTGCTGAATAAGGGAGATCACAGTAGGTAAAGAGGTTGGAGAAGCAGTCAGGGGCCAACGTTAGGTAGGAACATTCAGTCCAGTGTGGGAAGCATGGATTTTCTCCTAAGAACAATGGGAAGCAGCCAGAGCAGTTGAGAGCAGGAGAGTAGCATGGTGTAACATGTTTCTGAGAGCTCACTGTGGCCACTGTGCACAAAACGATCCCTATAGATAAGAATGGCAGTTAGGAGGCAGGTGCAGAAATGCAGGTGAGACATCAGCTAGGCACAGGTGGATGGACTCCAGGCATTCTAGGAGGTAAAATCCACAGGTCTTGGTGTCAGATTGAATGTGGGGTGAGAGATATGGCAAGATCCAGGAAGCCAGGCCTTTTGGATGGTAATACGATTCAAGGAAAAAAGATAACTCTGGAGGAAAACTGGATTTAAGAGTGAGATCATGAGTTCGGTCATGGGTGAGCTGAGTACTTGGTGACTTGAGATGTCAAGCAGGTCATGGCCTATGTGGGTCTGGAGCTTAGAGTTATACCTTTTTGCAAAGTCATTGAACTTCAGACGGTAACTGAAGAGGTGGATGTGAATGAGAGTGCCTAGGGAAAGAGTAGAGAGTAGAAAATAGGGTTTAGGTGTCAAGAAAGAGGCACAGACTGAGAAATGCTGAGAGGTAAAATTAGTTTGGCTGGGTGATGCTCATAAGAAGAGGGTGGGAGGAAAGCTGTTACTTAGAATGACATCTAGATTTTCCATGTGTGTGATTGAGTGGGAGATGGTATATTGACTGGCTGGTGATGACTTCTGTTTGGGACATACAGTAAGTCCCCTACATAAGAACAAGTTCCATCCCAAGAGCATGTTTGTAGGTCCAACAAAGTTAGCTTAGGTACCCAACTAACACAATCGGCTATATAGTACTGTACTGTAATAGGTTTATAATAATCTTCACAAAAATAATACATAAAAAAGAAACACACAAAATAAAGAAAACATTTTTAATCTTACAGTATAGTACCTTGAAAAGTACAGTTGTACAGTACGAGAGCTGGCATACAGGGGCTGGCATCGAGTGAACAGGAAAGTACCAGCTACATCACCGCTGCTTTTACACTTGCTTCTGGACATCCTGGGCTTGAAATAAAGATACTCTACTTTATACAGTACTGTACAGTAAAGTACACAAAAGCACAACCACTTGTAGAGGTTGCACACATGTGACAATGTATGCCAGACACATGAACTAACTTATGTGGACACGCAAATGCAAGTTAGCATCTTTGAAAGTTCACAACTTGAAGGTTTGTATGCAGAGGACTTACTGTACTGAATTTGAATAGTTTGTAGAATGTGCAAATATTATTGCCACCATAAAGGACATACGGTTTTGCATTTTTATAGCTTCCCTCTTATAACTTTTTCACCTCGCACCCCAAATGGAGAGGAGAAATGTGGGATCCAGAGGGTGATTGCTAAATATTGGTAGACAAATGGGGGAGGGAAGGTGTGGAGAAAGACAAAGGGGTGGGGAGTCAATACAAGGAAGGCAGTTATAAAGTGGGGGGGAGGGATGAAAAAGCTGAAGAATAAGGAAGGTCTGCGAAGAATATGGAATAGCAGGGTTGGAGGATGGAGGAGTGGAACTGAGGACAGACCATTAGGGTCACTGTTTCTTTCTGTCTAGGACCCAGGCCAGAGCTTTGCTTATCACCACTGCTTAAGACGTGTACTGAATGACTAGGCAATGAGAAGTTATTACACAATCTCATCAGTTTATATTTATGTCAAATATATAATGATGATGTGAACTCTCTTGGTAGCCCAGCTTTTAGATTTTCCCCTTAGCAATTCAATTATTTCTGGTTGAAAAATATGCACTTATGGAGTGATACTTTGTCACATCATGGGTATTGTTTTTTCTTGACCAACGTTTATTGAAGGTCTGCTCAGTACCAGGTTTTCTTTATGTTATTACTGCATTCAAGTAGTTGAGAATGTTTCTAATACAATTTCATGTGGGTATGATTTCTTAGCAGAAAAAGTGGGAAATGGAAGAAGAATCCCTAAGATCATTTATCCAAAAAATAATTCAATTGAAGTAAAACTTGGTGAGTAAACTTATTGAAGCCACTGAAATCCTAAGGGCAGGAATCAGTAAGTCCACACATCCTTGTGAATGTTTTTGAGTTTCAGGTATGAAGACAAATCCCACACAGGTGTATCCAGTTTCCAGCTTTGGATATACCTGAGTTCATCAGGAGAGGTATCAAAATAAAAAATCACAGAGCAGAAGGCTGGGGAGGTTGTGCTATGAAAGGTCTGGCTGCAATCACTATGGGTCTGAAAGATTACTGTAAATCTGTTCACACAAAGACAAATCCTTCCTGAAAGACATGATATGTAATATCAAACTACTATTAAGTAATGTTGATCAAGAGTCCTGGGTTATATTATCTCACACTAGGAAGGATCTGAAAGGAGTAGGGGGAGTTATCATGCTCTTTTCCTTATTTTACATAGGAAGGGATCAATAAACACTGCCTCAGTTTGTGATCTAAGTGGAGAAAAAGGGATTCAAATAATTTTTTAAAATTTAAAGGTAATCACTAGTAAGGTAAAAATGTGTTGAGTACCTTCTAAAGAAAAAATAAATTAAACAAAGTTTTTATTAAAAGACAGATGCTCGGGACTTCCCTGGTGGTGCAGTGGTTAAGAATCCTCCTGCCAATGCAGGGGACACAGGTTCAATCCATGGTCTGGGAAGATCCCACATGCCATGGGGCAACTAAGCCCGTGTGCCACATCTACTGAGCCTGAGCTCTAGAGCCTGTGAGCCACAACTGCTGAGCCCACGCTATACAACTACTGAAGCCCACCCGCCTAGAGCCCATGCTCCACAACAAGAGAAGTCACTGCAATGAGAAGCCCGTGCACCAGAACAAAAAGTAGCCCCCACTCGCTGCAACTAGAGAAGGCCCGCGTGCAGCAACAAAGAGGCAACGCAACCAAAAAATAAAATAATTAAAAAAAAAAAAAGGCAGATGTTCAGGTTGAGTCAAATATTAAAATCCAATTATATGCTCTCCTCAAAATACACAGATCTAAAAATACATGTCCTAGAAGATTAAAAATCAGTGCCTAAGCAAGATATGCATAAGATTTGCATACAATAGCAATACAAAGAAATCAGATTCACAGTATTAATCTTTCAATCTGATAATATATCTTTCAATGCAAAAAAGTAAATGACAAATTGAATCATTTTATACTAATAAAAATTATCCTTCCCCAAATAAAAATGTTTTTGTGTCAAATAACCATGCATCAAAATAAAATATATAAAGCTAAACTCTCAGAAGTACAAGGACAATACAACAAGACAGCACAATAGTTTCAGTTATAGTGGGAGGTTTTAACATACTCTGGCTTTGACAAATTTGCTAGTCAAATAAGGATCTAAAATACTCTAGTAATATATTAAGAATAATGTATTTAATGGATAGCATTCATAAACATCTATGAAAAACTCAGAGACCCAAAAGAGGAAATTATACAGACCACGTGGTATAATCCCCATGTAGGTAATCTAGAAATTTACAGCTAAAGTCAAAACAATGATAAACCCAACAAAAAATAAATCCACTAATTAAAAAAAATAAGCAACAAAAAATTTAGCTTCTAAGTATTTACTTTCTTGGTTAGATTAAGCCAAAGCCATTGGTACAGAATATTTAGAAAATAATGGCAGAGAGAACATATCAAATTTCATGGAATGTGACCAATGGTGAGTTCTAAACAAGCATGTATCTTTAAATGATTAATAATAAGTGTAGAAAACATTAAAATCCATCATCTAACCATTTAACTCTATAAAAAAGAGCAACTAAACAACTCCATGGAAGGAAATAAAAAAGATAGGCGTAAAAAATTATAAAGTTATTATAAGGAAAACAACCAACAAATAGAATTGATAAATTCCAAAGTTGGTTCTGGGATAGAAGGGTTGGGGCGGGGGTGGGGTGGAATAGAAAAAGAAGATAGAGGAACCTCCAGCAAATCTAATCCCCCCAATGCAGAGAAACTCAAACATTAAAGACAGAAATGAGAAAGCTTACAAAGCAACACATGGAAAGGAGATGAAATCTACTCAATACTTAAGAGACTCTGGACCCACATGTTTCAAGGAGGGTTCTGAATTTTCAAAGAAATAATAATGCCCATAATAAAAGATAGTTGTCTACATATCACTCACCATGTGAATACCCTAGTGGATTTCATAAACACCTAGAAAGGATAAACATACCTGTTATTAACTCTCTTAATTAACGTTGTTCCCCTCTCCTGTCTTTGAAAATTCTAGCCATTGTGTTTAGATAATTAGAAAGAAAATATAAGCCATGACAGAGGAAGATAATCATATAACTATTAAATAAATTTAAAATCTTCCCACAAACAAAATTCCAGATTCAGTTGGTTTTACTGGTGAATTCTACAAAACATTTAATAAAGAGATAACATCAATTTTCAACAAATTGTTTCAGAGAGAAGTAAAAGAGGAAATAGTCCTTATCTCATTTTATAAGGTCAGGAAAACCTTGACACCCAAACCCAACAAGGACATTATTAATTTTTTTAAAATTTATTTTTGGTTGTATTGGGTCTTCATTGCTGTGCACAGGCTTTCTCTAGTTGCAGCGAGCTGGGGCTACTCTTCACAGTGGTGCATGGGCTTCTCACTGCGGTGGCTTCTCTAGTTGTGGAGCACGAGCTCTAGGCATGCAGGGTTCAGTAGCTGTAGCGCACAGGCTCAGTAGTTGTGGCTTATGGGCTGTAGAACGCAGGCTCAGTTGTTGTGGTGCACGGGCTTAATTTCTCTGTGGCATGTGGGATCTTCCTGGACCAGGGATTGAAACTGTGTCCCCTGCATTGGCAGGTGGATTCTCAACCACTGCGCTATGGCCAACTCTCATTCATAAACACAGATGAAAAATGTAAAGCAAATTTATTTTAACAACATACATAAAGGACTAAATTGGGGTTATACGGAGCAATACGAAGTTGTTTCATATTAGATAATTCACTCTTTTATTTTGCATAAACAAACTAAAGGAGAAAAATAATACACTTACCTTATAGATACAGAAAAGTCATTTAGAAAACTTGAACTAGGGATTCATTTTTTAAAAAAAAGACCAACTCTTTTATTAAGAATAGAAGGGAATGTCCTTAATCTGATTTTTAAAAATCTATTTTTAAAAACCTATAGAAACAATACAGTCAAGACTGAATTATTGAACACTTTTTCTTTGTTTTGAGGAAGAAGACAGTCAAAATCTTAACAGATTTTGTTTTTTGTAGAATTTGATATATTGATTATAACATTGGTATGAAAACTCAAAGGCTGAATAATAGTTAAGACACTTTCAATGAAGAAGAACTGAATGGGAGGATGAGTGACACCAGATTTCAAGATTTGCTAAAAAGCTGTGGTAATTTAGACACTCTAGTCCTGGTATGAGGATCGACAATAGAACAGAATTGAAGGCCCAGAAATAGATCCATGCATGCAAAGCACTTGGTTTTGACAAAGATGACACTACAGAGGAATAGGGAAAGTGCAGTCTTCTCAATAAATGGTCCTAGACAATTAGATGTAATATAGAATAAAACAACACTTTCCCCCTTTCTCATGCCTTTTATAAAAATAATTTCAAGTGAATTGTAGACCTAAACATGAAAGTCAAAACCACACATTTCTAGAAAAATACCTTTATGATTTGGGGTAAGGAAAGATTTAAAAAATGAAGAACATACAAATTACTAGTATTGAAGGAAAAAATTGGTAAATGAGGCTACATTAGAAATAAGAACTTCTGTTTATTCAGAGAGTGGAAAGACAAGCCACAGAGTAGAAAAAGATACTTGAAATAAGTGAGCAAAGGTCTTGTATGCAGGATCTAGCCAAAGCTCCTCCAAAATAATGAGAAGAAGGCCACCTGGTAGGAGGACAGACAACCACTTGGACAGACAGCTCAAGTAGAGGATATCAACACAGCCAATAAAAAGGTTAAAAAGGTGCTCGATCAGGTGCAATCTAGGGAGATGTAACTTAAATTTGCTAGGTGATATCAGGACACATACATAAAGATGGCTAAAACAAATAGGCTGACAATCCCAGGCATCATGGGGTCTGTGCAGTAACAGGAACTCTCACACTGCTGGTGGAAGTGTCAGATGGTACAACTATTAGAAAACAGCTTGGCATGTCATTTCACGTTGGAGCTAGGCATAATCTATGATCTCCCAATTTTACTGGTAGATAATTCTCTATACTCATCATGTACACGGGTGTGTATACATGAGGTATATATGCACATGTGACCTGGGAGACATGCAGAAGAGAAGAGAGTTCAAATAGGCCATAGGCGGTAAATAATAGAAACCATGCCAGTGCGTATATAGCAACAGTAAGAGAAATGAATAAGAACTAGTAAGTTGGAGACCTTCAAGATCGTGGCGGCGTGAGATGTGGAGATCACCTTCCTCCCCACAAACACATCAAAAATACATCTATGTGTGGAACAACTCCTACAGAACACCTACTGAACGCTGGCAGAAGACCTCAGACTTCCGAAAAGGCAAGAAAATCCCCACGTACACGGGTAGGGCAAAAGAAAAAAAAAAAAGAGAGACAAAAAATAGGGATGGGACCTGCACGTCTGGGAGGGAGCTGTGAGGGAGGAAAAGTTTCCACACACTAGGAAGCCCCCTCACTGGCAGGGATGGGATGGGGAGCTTTGGAGCCACAGAGGAGAGCACAGCAACAGGGGTGCGGAGGGCAAAGTGGAGAGATTCCCGCACAGAGGATTGGTGCTGACCAGCACTCACCAGCACGAGAGGCTTGTCTGCTCACCCGCCTGGGGCAGGTGGGGGCTGGGACCTGAGGCTCAGGCTTCGGTTGGAGCGCAGAGAGAGGACTGGGGTTGGTGGCGTGAACACAGCCTGCAGGAGGTTAGTGCACCACGGCTAGCCGGGAGGGAGCCCGGGAAAAAGTGTGGACCTGCCGGAGAGGCAAGAGACCATTGTTTCGGGGTGCATGAGGAGAAGG